AAAAGTAGTTCAAAAGTTGAGCCATTAGCCCTCTTGACTAAGAAATATTTCAGAAATACTTGTGTATGTATATGAGTCAAAAAAATGCATACATGGAGTGCATACCCTTACCGTGCCAAGCAGACTATTGAATCACCCAAGAAGAAATCTCATGGACAGTGCCATCCAAAAGGTTGTGCTAAGGCCAAAGAGAGTGTTGAATACAACCCTAAAATCCAACAGGATTAAAAAAGCTAACCATAAGACAGTCCTAAGAAGAGTTCAAGATACAGAAAAGCAAAGTATAGGAAGCTAAAATGATTTGATTATTTCCATTCAGAGACAACCCAAAAGCAATAATCAGTAACACTTAAATATTACATTGAAAAATTGTCCACAAAAATTACAGCATCAGTAAAAGGGTACTCCCACAGATTCTCCTAAAAAATCAAAGAACCAAAAAGATTTTGGAAAGAGACGATGACTTTCAGAGTATCGCTCCTGACCATTTTGGAAAGATTCCAAGTCATTTCCAGAGTCGTCTAATCGACGATCATAAGATGAACTCGAAATGCCTTATTTACAATACATCCCTATATTAGTCAAAAGATGGCAGACACTCTGCATTACATGACAAGGTTAGTGCCATAAATATAATCTATGCTTAAACAAAAGCTGGTCATACTCTACATTCAACCTTCCGTTTACACCTAAAGAGAATCAAAATTAACTGGAAAAAAATTATAGATACTTAAAAGAAAATAACAAAACAAGGGCTTCTAACATTTAAGTATAACATAAGTGAGGAATGTAACTAAATTCCACTTGAACAGCAGCAGTAGAATGTTAATTAAATTCCACTTGAACAGCAGCAGTAGAATGTTGATTAAATTCCCAACCGTTCAATTCTTTACTAAGAATATGCATCCAACTATCAATATCAGGATATGGAATGACATGTATGTACTTCATTTCATTTGACCAGTAGTGAGTATAATGTTAATTAAATTACCAAATTCTTCTATAAACATATGAATCCAAACATCAATATCAGGGTAAAGAACGACAGATTTATACTTCAATTCAATGTCCAACATGAAGCCCATATGGTGATGATACCAACAATAATGCTCTATCTCTATAATGATTCTTGCCCACAATTTAATGTACATCTTAAGCATAGCAAACAAATGATTATTCCAACAAAAGCATATAATTACAATTCAATACATGATATTTATAGTTTACGAGGCAATAAAAAAATACCTCAAAAGTCAGGAGGTTGAAAGCAAGTATGCAACGTCGAAGAAACATCCCCAGGTTACTGTTTGGGTCCAAAATAACCTGGTCATCGTCTATAACTCCTGAATCAGCCCCCAAGTGTTTCTACAAAAAAAAAACAATAATGACAGCGGAAAGGAAGATGATAAAGTGAGTAAAACAACAAACAAATAAATAAACGCTAACCTCGCAACTCATTAAAGAAATTGAACAGATCATCAGGCGATGATAAAGATGATAACCAACTAGTTACATGATCAGTTAACCAATCATCCATTAAAACACCAATCTCTCTCAATTGGTTAATGAGTTGATTTAATTTTGGCTCCAAAATGTTATCACATGACTACAATACGCAAACACGGCGCATCCATTTGGTCCCAAAAGCAAAATATAGATACAAAAGAGAAAAAATGAGGGGAAGCGGTGGAAAATACCTTGGTGAGAGCTAACAAATACAACCCGAGGCGGCTGTGCTGAGAAACAGAGGAGAAAGGGACGGAGATTTGAGAAGGAGAAGTATAGCTATGAACCAAAATGCACACTGAAACTTTGTGTGGAGTTATGGAAAAGGCACCCGGTGCTCTCACTACCCCTGCCATTTCTAATAGACTTCCAAAAAATTTGTGTTGCTGTCTGAGATACCAATCCATATTGCTCAAAATCAGCAACACATTCTGAAAAACGCTCCTGACCATTCCCCAAAACATTTTTATTTTTTAGAAAGATGGAGCGGGAATGGAAAAATAGGTGAAGGGGAGAGAAGAAACATGGTTACAAGAAACAAATCAAAGAACTGAAAACGAGTTAAAAAGTCGAGAGGGAGGAGAGAAGATGAAACATTTTATTTGTTTAGAAAGGGGGAGCGGGAATGGAAAAATAGGTGAAGGGGAAAATGAAAAAGGGTTAAAGAGGCGCGGGATTTAGCAACTTTAAACTTGCGGCGTTTGTAAACATAAACGCCACTAAAGTATGACTCTTTAGCGGCGTTTATAAAAAACGCCACTAAACACAAACGCCACTAAAGTACAAGCCTATAGCGACGTTTGTAAATACAAACGCCACTAAAGTACAAGTCTATAGCGGCGTTTGTAACAAACCGCCACTAAAGTACGAGTCTATAGCGGCGTTTGTATAAAATGCCACTAAAGTACTACTTTATCGCGGCGTTTTATATATAAACGCCACTAAAGTACGAGTCTATAGCGGCGTTTATATAAAAACGTCGATAAAGTACTACTCTATCGCGGCGTTTTGTATAAAAACACCATTAAAGTACGAGTCTATAGCGGCATTTGTTTAAAAACGCCGCTATAGTTACCATTTTGTGGCGTTTCAAATGTAAACGTCGCTATATGCTTAAAGTTAGTAACGTTTACTCTTAAAACGCCGCTAAAAATGTCGCTGTAGAACAGTTTTTCTGTAGTGCCAAATTCATCTCGTAAGAGTCTCTCGCATCTTTACCTGTCACAACGAGAATGATGTTGTGATCCAACAACATAATCTCGTACTTTATAATCATTGTTATTGTGATTGAACTAAACAATTTGAATGCTCTAGTACCAATTTATTACGAAAAATAATGAATGATTGATTGCAAAATAATAATAGAAAAGACAAAGATAGACAAATATACATGAAAAATACTAAAAAAGTCATAGGACAACAAAGAAGAATTTTACTATAATTGACGATAAATTACAAGGTAATTATACTATAGTACTGCATAAAACCCAAAATCATAGATACATATATATAATTACATGGGCATAGTAACTCCAGTAGAATAAAGTTGTACCATATTAACTTGAAAGCGTCCATATCTATCATAAATTTCTATTTTTCGATTATTTTATTTTTTTCACTAAGTGGTCGTGCCACAAACTTTTCGAATATCAACCGAAATTTAAGTTATAAACTCTAACAAAACCAAAAGAGTGATTAAATTGATTTTATTTTATAATCTTAAGCCGACATTTCTTATTGCCATTCAAAGGAATAACTTTTATGTGGTTGCATCTTTGGCACTAAACCTATAACAGATGGCTCAACTTCTGTTCTTTATGATGTCACACGTGCACCAAAGTGTTTGTCGAACGATAAGAAATTACGGACCAATGCAATTTTTGCTTAGTCTGTTTATTTGACTGCCCATCTTCTCCTCAACCCCTAACATCCACACGTGATAAAAACTCACTTATTTCATGAATTATTCAAGGGTCTAACAACTTGACAATGAACTCGTCAATGGTGGGTTATGGTGTTCATGTTTGAGTATGACGTCCTTTATGCCTTTGGTCACACTGCACAAAGGCTAGATCTTGTCTAATTAGAGAATCTTTCGTTCTTTAACAAAATAATACACCATTGCCTATTCACTTTCCTTATCACTATTAGTTGATTGTATGCTTCCAGTTCGATTTCTTTTGGAAAACCACATAAAAAGTATTTATATCACATTAAGAGATATCGCTTTGAGTTTTAAGTTATTATAACATATAAGAGATTTGGATTCGAACATATTTAAATATACATTATCTTCTGATTTATGTATAAAGAGATATTAAGATTCTTCCTTTGAGATATATTTAGGTTCATGTGGTGTAAATTAGAAATTAAATAGTCTAGCTTTGATTTGTCATAATTTATAAAATAATTTTATTTCTTCGTTCCATCTTTGCCTAGCACAACCATTCACTATCAGACAATTTATTGGCCTATATAATGCCTACTTTCATTCCAAGGCTTTGCAATTCTTAAGCCTCTCTTATCTTAGGGTTTTTCATTTTTTTTCTATTATACACTCATAAAAAGATCGAAAATATGGGTGAAAAGATGGAAATCCCAAAAATGGATGCTTCAATTGGGGTGTCGTTATTAGAGGAATCACATTGTGAGGTGTATTACAATGAGGAGGAAGTAAACAGTTTAATGGAATCTCTAGAAGCTGAGATTACAATGACAAACCATACTCCATGCACAAGTACTATTGAAGGAGACGATCGGTTGAAATGGAAACGGTGGCTTCTTGGCCGAGCAATGACATCAACTGGAACGTTGAAGAGATGTCGATGGATGAGTTGGTTCAATGGGGAAATGATTTTGCTTTCAATTGTTATGGAGTTTCATCAGAAAATGACTATTCTTCATTGTGGCAAGAGACATATGATACAACTATGCACAATTAGATTATCTATATTTGATTTTCTATTACAGAATGTATAAATCTAGCTAATTTTCTTTCAACTGTGAAATCTTATTCAATCCAGAAATATTTCTTAAAGATTATATATGCTTCCAATTTTGGATCGACAAAAAATGCAAGCTTGAGAGCATAAGGTTTATTTAACAGAAGACATTGGTACCATGCTAGTCTGTTGAAGTTAAAATGAGTATCATTGGTAAGAATGGAAGATAAATCTTATTGCAAATTACTGAAAAGAGAGCAAATGGAGGAGGGGAAATGATGGAAATGCTTTTAGTAGAACTAACATAGAAACAAGGGGGGAAAACTCTTCTACATGACCTAAAGAAAAATGTTTGTAAATACTTATCCATAAAGTGTTCTATCAGTTCAACGGTTAGGAGGCGCACGATAACAGGATTCTCTGGGTGCACGTTAGCAGGACTAACGATCTCTGAGATTTCTGATCATTTTTCCGGTGATTTATTTCCGTTTGTTTACGTATTTCTCTCTTTCAAACTATTCCTTCCTTTCATTTTGATCTTCCCTTCTTAATATGGACTGGAGAAAGTTATTTGGTTGTTCTACTGGCCACGATCTTGAATACTATCCACCAAAGTCTCTCAAAGGAAAACTAACCGTCATCCCACCTCCGGAGATCTTAGAAGCTGGTATTTCTGAGTGGAATCTATCTCTAGTGGGACAGTTCCTCGGGACTTCTCCTAGCTTTGCATCAATCCAAAGGATCGCCAATAGTTTATGGAACAAAGCTTTGAAGGGCTCCTGACTGCAGGTAAGTACTGCAGGTAGTAACCTATTCATTTTCTCTTTCTCTTCAGAATCTGCTTTGAATTGGGTGATTGAAAACAGTCCTTGGCACATTCATAATAATCCCCTAATTCTTAGGAAATGGGAACCAAACCTTAAATCCCTAAGCTTTAATCTGTCTAAAATTCCAGTTTGGATTCTTCTGTTCAATGTCCCACTTGAGCTTTTTTCTAGAGCTGGCCTTAGCTATGTTGACAGTGCCATAGGCGTTCCTGTATCTATGGACACCATAACTGCGTCCAAATCTAGATTGGAGTTTGCTAAAGTATGTGTTGAAATTGGGGCTAATGATACAATTCCTAGGTATGTAGATGTTGTGCTTAAAGATGGTAAAACTACATCGATTTTAGTTGAGGTTCCTTGGCTCCCACAAGCATGTAAGAAGTGTAATATTTTTGGTCACAGTGATAAAGGTGTGTTGAAAAGTCTATTCCTCCATCTTCTGTTTGCCAAGTCTGGAAAAGAAAATGAACTACTGTCTCTAATTCTTTAGCCCCTATAGTTGAAGGAATTAAAGCTTTACAGGATCCTGTTAACACTAACACTGAACCTTTGACTTCTGTTGATACTCTTATTGACACAACTGGTACAAATTCTTCTCTTCAAATAGGGGTAATTACTGATCCTAATGTAATAGTAGCCCAGGAAATTTTAACTAGTTCTGATCCCAACAGTTCTGTTGCTACTGTCCTTAATGTCATAACAGCTCAGAATGAAAAAAACATGCTCTGTTCTAAACCTACGGTTGTAAATTCCCATAATACTATTCAGTCTCATGGAGTTAAAGTTTTAAATCCCTCTCAATATCTCAATTTAAATAGTTATAAAATTGAGACATTAACTGTTAAAACCGACAATGACTGCACTTCTTTTGTTTCTAATGCCTCTGATGCTGCCAAATCTCAAACTGAAATTTTTGAAATTTTAGAAGAGGATTCTACTCAACCAGCCTCTATTAAAAAGGGTAGAGGTAGACCCCAAAGGTTAATTCTAAAGTCCCTATTGTTGGTTCGAATAACAGATTTGATAATCTAAACTCTGTTGATGACATCTCTACTCCCTTAGAAAATCAGCAAAGAAAAGTCAGAACTGCTTCTTTTGGAGTAGAAAATCTTGTGAATGAAATAAAGTCAAAGAAGAAAGACCAAGTTGAAAAATTTAAAAGTCTTAATGTGGGAGGTCAAAAGGGATCTACTCCCCCTCAATGATATTAAGCTTTTGGACCATTAGAGGACTTAACAATCCTCTCAAACAAGATAGAGTGATACAAAGAGCTTCTCATAATAAAGTCGATGTTTTATGCTTATTGGAGACTAGAGTAAAAGCAGAAAATTCTGATAAAATTTTCAATTCTAAATTCTCTAATTGGAATGTCAGTTCAAACTATGATTTTGCTATTAATGGCAGAATCTGGCTGCTTTGGAGGAAAGGTCTTGATTTCAATGTCATTTTTGTTTCGGATCAAACTATCATCGTTAAGGGCTTATACAATGGTTCCCCTTTTTTCCTTTCTGCTATTTATGGTAGCAATGATGGAATTATTAGGAGACAATTATAGCATCAGTTAAAAGTTGTAAATTCTTATGTTGGTCATTACCCTTGGATAGTTGGAGGTGATTTTAACACTTTTTTGCACTCTCATGAAAGTTCTGACCATGATTTTCTTGACCATTACCTCACCGCTGACATGAAAGACTTTCAAGATCTTATTCATGAGTTAGATCTTCTTGATCACCCTTTTTTTGGTCATTCTTTCACTTGGAATAACAAGCATACTGATCATTTTCTTACTAGGAAGCTTGATAGGGTTCTTATAAATCCTTACTGTCTATTTCTTTTCCTCTTTCTTTTGTGGAATTCCTTGCTCCTGGTATCTCTGGCCACTGTATGGCTATTTTAAACCTTGCAAAAGAGTCCCCTATAAATAGACCAAAACCTTACAAATTTTTTAATTTCTGGTCTGATCATCCTTGCTTCTTGAATATTGTGAGGAACTCTTGGCTCCCTTTTGCTAGTGGTAATCTTATGTCTGTTCTCTTCACTAAGCTTAAAAGGCTTAAATCTACTCTCAAAGAGTTTAACAATGAAAACTTCAATAATCTTCCTTCTCAAGTGAAAACTAAAAGAGCTGAGTTGGATTTGCAACAACTCCGTACCTTAAATGGCGAGGATGGAATTGAAAAGGAGATTCTCATTCAAGATGAGCTGAAGACTCTTGAAGAAGCTGAAATTTTGTTCCTTAAACAAAAGGCAAAAATTCAGTGGATTAAAAATGGTGATAAAAACACTAAATTCTTTCACTATATGCTCGTTTTTAAGAACAAGAGAGACACCATTCGTGTGCTTATTGATGGAAATGGCAATCACTTGGATTCTTTCGATGCTATGTCTAAGGAACTTACTTCCTCTTTCTCCAACTTTCTTGGATCTATTGACAACAGTGTTAAAAACATTGATCTTTCTTCCCTTAAAGAGCTGCTAAATTATTCTATTCCTCTTGATGCAGCTTCTGTTCTTGTTAAGGATATGTTGAACTATATTTCGATATAACAATTTAAGGCAAAATAGTTTTTGGACTTGAATTGAATTTACAAAATGTATTTGGACTTAATTGAATTTATTCAAAATTTACAAAAATAATTCAAAGTTCTTTTAAATTACTATTTGAACAGTAACCCGAGGCTAAAAAATTCCAGTATGTAAAAGGGGAACCGATTCCCCCCAAGGGGGTACCGATTCCCTCACTGTTCATCAGCCCAACGATCATAATATTTGAATATTATGAAGGGGTATCGATTCCCTATGAAGGGGTATCGATTCCCCCCATTCTGGGCAGCCTATTTTTGCAGAAAATTCATTCCCAAACGGCTCCAAAACATCCCCAACGGCTAGATATGACTTCAAACACATTCCAAGCTATAAATACAAGCTAAGGACACTTGAAGAAGAAATAGAACAACTATCCAAGTAATCAAACACAAGAGAAGAGTTTTTCATTCTTATTTCATCTTTCTCTTGTAAATATTTTGTTCTTGTGAGCTTAATTCTTGTAAACACCTACCTTAGAGAGGTTTTATTGTTTACATCTTTTATCCTTTTGTAAAGGGGAAAGGTTCTAGCTTAGCCCGTGTAAAAGCTAGGGAAAGGTTCTAGTTTATCCCGGAAAAACTAGGGAGTTGTAAGGTTATCTCTTTGTCTTAAAAGAAAGAACAAATTAGTGAATTTGTTGGAAAATCCTTGGTGAGGAGCTAAGGTAGTGGACGTAGACTTTGATTGAGAAAGTTGAACCACTATAAATCGCTGTGCAATTCTCTATCTTTCAATCTCCTTACTCCCTAAACACAAAATCGTTCCGACCCCTCTTTACAAATCGTTCCAGTTGTCATTTCGAGCTTTCGAAAATCCTAAAAATTGGCATTAGAGCCTAACTCGTTAAGAAGGTTTAACCACCTTGAGACGATCCTAGAAGAAGCTCTACCAATTCCCGACACAACCGAGAAGATGGCTTCTACCTCCGGCTCGTTCCACATGGAAGACTCCCTACCAACGGACAAGCCTCCATACTTCAATGGAGACAACTATCATCATTGGAAGAAATTAATGAAGGTATTCATCCAATCCAATGATCTTGATGTATGAGAGATAATCGAGAATGACTACTCTTCTCCAAATAAGAAGGAGAAGAAGCGGAGTGACAAAGAACGGAAGAAAGCTCAACTTAATGCCAAGGCCATGCACATGTTGTTTTGTGCATTTGGTCCTGAAATCTATGAAGGAGTTTCTTCATGTTCAAGTGCCAAGGAGCTTTGGAATAAGCTCAAGGAAATCCATGGAAACAAGAAAGAAGAACCAACAAAGGTGGTGTCTCTAATGGCTTATGAAGAGCCCGAGGTATCTTCTAACTCAAATGAATTTAATTCATATACATTTGATGAGTTACAAGATGCTTTTAATAGGTTATATTCGGAGTTTGAGACCATGAACTCCAAATATAAGAAAATGATTTCAAAATTTAAAATTGAAAACGATTTTCTTTTGAAAACAAAAATAGATTTTGAAAGCCAAAATGAAATGTTGAAAAAGGATTTAGAGCTTTCAAAAATAAAAATTGATAGTTTTGAAAAACAAAATTTTGATTTAAAAGTTAAGCTTGAATGCTTAACAAAAGAAAAAGAAATCATTTTAAATAATTCATTTAGTTCAATAATGACAATATGCTCACATTGTCATTATCATGGTCATTTGGAACATACTTGTCCTTTGAAGAAAGGAAAACGTTTTAAAATTAGGCAAGTATGGGTTCCGAAAGGAACAAGGGGCATTGAAACTAACGTCCAAGGATCCAAAGCAATTTGGATACCAAAATCTACTTAAATGTCTCTTGTAGGTGTGTGGGAGCAATAGTGATAAGAGTGATGATATTCAAGATGCTCTAGCCACACATGAAAAAGGAATGGGTAACCTCTAAGCTTAATGCTTTTAATTTAGGTTATTTGGTTGCTCATTTGATTTTAAGCATGCATGAGTTTTGGTTTTAAATGATTATGCATCATTGTTTTAATCTCATGTATGTTGAAAAGATGACTATGATGAACATTTATTTTTGAGAATTTTTAGTTCATCATAATGAATTTTGGTCAAAATTGGTTTTAAATGCTAATGATACCTCTTTAACAATTGATATCAAATTTCAAAATACTTTGATTTTATAAATTTTAATTTTTGGCCTAAATTTGAATGTTTATGCATGTGGTCTAAATGAAAATGATATCTCTCTAGCAATTGATATCAAATTTTTAAAATTGCATAACATTTTTGGAAAACTTTATGCAAATGAGCTTAATTTTAGCAATTGGTATTAATATCAAAATCCAACAATTGGTATTGCATAAAGTATTTTAGACTTGGATATATTGAATTTCATGTGCTACAAACATGTTTGTTATTCTTTTTAGAAATTCAATATTTTGTTTAAGTGTCAAGATCTTAAAAGCTTAATTTTGTTTGGAATACATTTATTGAGGGGGAGCTTTGATTTTTCAAATGATTTTTAAATGTAAAATTTACTACTTACTCTCCAAAGTTATTTTAAACTTCAAAGATCGAATTATTTTTGATATAACAAAAAGGGGGAGAAGTTTAGTTTGAAAAATTCAATTTCTTAATGAAAAAGGGGGAGCTTAACATTTTCATATGTTTTCCAACAACTAGTATCTTTTTTATTAAACATTTTATTAAGGGGGAGTTTTTGCCAAAAACAATTTTTCAAATGTTTTGTTATATCAAAAAGGGGGAGATTGTTGAACTATGTTTCGATATAACAATTTAAGGCAAAATAGTTTTTGGACTTGAATTGAATTTACAAAATGTATTTGGACTTAATTGAATTTATTCAAAATTTAAAAAAATAATTCAAAGTTCTTTTAAATTAAAATTGAGCACAAAAATGTTTTTATGAATAGTAAGTTACTATTTGAACAGTAAATCACTATTTGAACAGTAACCCGAGGCTCAAAAATTCCAGTATGTAAAAGGGGAACCGATTCCCCCCAAGGGGGTACCGATTCCCTCACTGTTCATCAGCCCAACGGTCATAATATTTGAATATTATGAAGGGGTATCGATTCCCTATGAAGGGGTACCGATTCCCCCCATTCTGGGCAGCCTATTTTTGCAGAAAATTCATTCCCAAACGGCTCCAAAACATCCCCAACGGCTAGATATGACTTCAAACACATTCCAAGCTATAAATACAAGCTAAGGACACTTGAAGAAGAAAGAGAACAACTATCCAAGTAATCAAACACAAGAGAAGAGTTTTTCATTCTTATTTCATCTTTCTCTTGTAAATATTTTGTTCTTGTGAGCTTAATTCTTGTAACACCTACCTTAGAGAGGTTTTATTGTTTACATCTTTTATCCTTTTGTAAAGGGGAAAGGTTCTAGCTTAGCCCGTGTAAAAGCTAGGGAAAGGTTCTAATTTATCCCAGAAAAACTAGGGAGTTGTAAGGTTATCTCTTTGTCCTCAAGAGAAAGAATAAATTAGTGAATTTGTTGGAAAATCCTTGGTGAGGAGCTAAGGTAGTGGACGTAGACTTTGATTGAGAAAGTTGAACCACTATAAATCGCTGTGCAATTCTCTATCTTTCAATCTCCTTACTCCCTAAACACAAAATCGTTCCGACCCCTCTTTGCAAATCGTTCCGGTTGTCATTTCGAGCTTTCGAAAATCCTAACAGGATATTACTAATAACGAAATTCAAGATGCCTTTTTTAGTCAACGTAATGATAAAGCCCCTGGTCCAGATGGTTATTCTCCTTGTTTCATTAAGAAGGCTTGGTCTATTGTGGGAGAAGATGTCTTGGCTGCTGTAAAGCATTTTGTCCATAGCAACTATATGAATCATGGTTTTAATTCCACTGTCATTGCTCTTCTTCCTAAAGTTCCAAATCCTCAAGCTGTTAAAGATTTCAGACCCATCTCATGTTGTTCAATCTTTTACAAAGCAATCACAAAAATTTTAGTTAAAATATTGTCTGAATTTCTCCCTGATTTCATCTCTTTAAACCAGACTACTTTCATCAATGGTAGGAGTATTATTGATAATACCCTCCTCGTCCAATAATTGGTTAAAGGTTACGATAGGAAAACTATTTCTCCTAGATGTTCTATGAAGATTAACCTCCATAAGGCTTTTGACTCTCTCCATTGGGATTTTATTTCCTCTATCCTAAGAGCCCTCCTTCTTCCTACTCGTTTTATAGCTTGGATTGAGACTTGTTTCACTCAAGCTAGGTATTCCATCGCTTTCAATGGTTCTCTTATTGGCTATTTCAAGGGCGCTAGAGGTTTAAGACAAGGTGATCCACTCTCTCATACTCTTTTTGTTCTTGCTATGCATGTTTTATCTAAGATGCTTAATTTGGATGCTGCCAAAGGAGTGTTTGGTTATCACCCAAAATGCAAAAGGATTGGCCTTACCCATCTTTCTTTCGCTGCTGATTTAATGATCTTCTGTAAGGGTAATGCTGATTCTATTATGGGTGTCTTAAGCGTTCTGGATCATTTTTATGATATCTCTGGGCTTCATCTTAATTCCTCCAAATGTGAAATTTTTTCTGCTGGTTGTTCTTCAAGATCAATGGATTTTTTTCAACATATCACTGGTTTAAAAAAAGGCAGCCTTCATGTGAGATACTTAGGTATCCCTCTTGTTACTCATAAACTTACTGAGAAGGATTGTGTTGTGCTCATTGAAAAAATTAAAAAGAGGCTCCATCATTGGTCTGCTAGAAATCTGAGCTACGCTGGCAGACTCGAACTCATCCGTTCTGTTCTTTTCAACGTCTCGAATTACTGGTGCAGACAACTTATCCTTCCAAATTTGATCCTTGCCAAAGTGGACCAGCTCTGTTCCAGATTTTTCTGGAAATGTGAAGACAAGTCTGCTTCAGGTGCTCGAGTAAGATGGGATGTTATATGCTTCTCTAAAGCCGAAGATGGTCTTGGATTAAAGAACACTAAAATATGGAACCAAGCTTGTTCTATTGATCTTATTAGGAAAATATTAACAGGTGATGGCTCGCTTTGGGTTGCATGGTTAAAATCTTATGTTTTCAAAGATCAAGATTTCTGGAATTTTGTTACAGGTTCTAATGTGAGTTGGACTGTTACTAGAATTTTAAAATTGCATTCTATTGCTCTCACAGTCTTACCTTCTTCTGGTTATCTTAGGCTTAATGATATTTGGGAATCTATTCGAATCAAAAGGGTGAAAGTTCCCTAGCAGAATCTGATATGGTTTCCCATGCACATTCCTAAATTCTGTAACTCCCTCAGACCGATGCGGATAACCCGATCCGATCTGGAGTGTCACATTAGGGTCACCGGAGCGACCCACTGTAAAAATAGCAGAAAATTTAAAACTTTTATTAAAACATGTAACTTATAAAATGATTTATCAGTATAAAGGAATAAAACAAATTTTTAGACTCAAATATTAAAACAAAATACAACTACATGCCCCCTGATCACATGTACCATACTTTGCAGCAACGCCAGAAAAACTTCCTTATTGAAGTCGATAGATGCACTGGTTCAATTCTTTTAACCTGCAATGTTGAGTAATAGAGTGAACTTCGGAAAGCTCAGTAATACAGAACTACTAGATGATATTGAAGAACTTGCAGATACATATAAACATATATTTCCTTATTGGTTTAGATATCTATAGATTTTTAGGTTGAGTTGAGGTCCCATTGATATTTCAGGTAATAACAAATAATATTCAGTTCAGATGGAAATATTTCATATGTCTATGTTCAGGAGATCAGAATAGGTTATCTAGTGTGTTCCCGTAAAAACAGTAAAAAGATACAGATATTTTAAAACATATATATATATACCCCCATCCTTTCACAATCTGTTTGTGTAGGTTCCCCAGAACCATACACCCAACCCACACAACTTGTAAGGCCTTGAGCACAAAGCCGAGGAACCTGCAAAAATACTTCCATCAACAATACCCCCCAATTAAAACATGTTCCGTCCGTAAACGGAGATATTAGAAATCAAAACAGAATTCAGAACAGATATCAGAACAGAATCCATATCAGAAATCAAAACAGAATTTAGGTCATGTATCAGAACAGAATTCAAGTCGAAAATCAGATAAAATATTTATATGATTAGGGAACACACTAGAGTTTACAGATATTATTTAGAGGTACTGGATAATCTTAGCAGGCAGAGAAAAACATTTCTTCAGTATGTCGATAGAATGTTGGAATTTAGAATCACTATTGGAAGAGTTCATTAACTGACAAAATCATCAGTTATTCAGAATGTGAATTGAGCTGATAAGGAAGGAACGAAGATTCGAAACATTTACGAGTTGTGTCGATCTATCGGAATATTGAATAACTCGAGCTAAACAACTCCCATAACTGATACTTATCGAATAGTCAATTCATTACCCTTCCAGGGTATTTACTCTTTAATACAAAAAAATTCTTGTCCAAAGATCATCTTCAGAATTATCGTTGAATAGATCTTTCAATGTCTTTATTTCATTTCCACACTTCCATAATATCATGAAATGCTAACGTACTTGATTATTTTAATCATAAACCATCATAATTGTACACTATATAAACTCATCAGAATTTCCAGACTTATCCAAATCACTTACTAAATCCTCAGTCATTGAGGTTACCTAATTCATTTAGCAGTCATGTCCATTCTCGTTATTTCGGGGTTTTTAGGGTAATCCAGACATTTCTGAATTTCGGAGACATATTGTACTTCCGTTCAATTCAATTTGGTCTTTGTGGTCGATTTGTCATCGAATGCGATCTAGAGTTGAGCTGCGCTGAGTACTTCCAAAATTTATCATCGAGCCAAACTTGAGAAGACGAACACGCATTCAAGTAATATCTATGCTATCTAGGTATTGGCATAGCTTTAGGGTTGATCTACTCACTTAAATTATGTTCCATTACTTTTAAAGGTAGTCCAACACCTATGCTTATTTGAATTCCTTAATTAATCCAAGACATTTACTTAGTTTAGGCCGTAAGGTTATTTTGGTAATTTTGGTATTAAGTTTTATTCTATTCATTTCAGAGCTCGAGGATATCTAATCATTCCTGAGTTTGGTGATATTCTCGGGTTATTTTCATTACAGGGGTATTTTGGTCATTTTACAGATTCAATGTATTTTAATCCTTTTCTTCTGTCCGATCTTACTATTAAATTCAATCTTATCATTTATTTAAACCTTTCGAACAATTCTGACAGCAGAATACCCCGATAAATTATTCTTCAGGTATTTACTCATTACTCGGATATTTTCGGGTCAAGTGCCTTCTCAGATTTTACAAAAGAAATATCATGAATTTTTCTTTACAAAGACATGATCTTAATAATTAAATTCGTACTTAATCGAGTTAAGTACAAATCCTCAAAGTACTTTTTTATTTAGGGTCAACTCAGACTATTTTACCTCTCAAGGGCATTTTTGTAATTTCTTAACTAGATAATTTCGATATTAGCTCTTAACAAAAATAATATAATATAGAGATCCTATGATTAATTGCTTCCTCGAACATTCTTTGATCTTGAAATGATTCCTTAAAAGACTTCTAGTATCTATCATAAACCCTCTTAGGGTTAAAAACCGGTTATCCATAATTTTCAAGTAAAACTAACATTTCTTATGCACATCAATAGTTTTATCAGATCAATAATTCTTTTCAGATTTATTAATCCACTTCCAGGGACAATTCTTGTCATTTTCCAACATAAAAGTAATTTTGTAATTTTACCTAATCGAAATATTCTCATAATTTATCATCTAAGTACCTTTATTGAGATAAATTATAATCTATATATCCATGGCTGATTCTTTTATAACTTAAATCTACATATCCATGGTTGATTCTTTTATCACTTAATTCCAGAACTTGTAATTTAATTCCAATTGTCCTCTTCTTATAATAGTCATCTGAGCCATATTCAGTTACCTACTTTCTACCGTATTCGTATCGAGTGTAGATCTTCATTAATTACACATATGAGACCAAACATTTCCATTCATGCATTTACCAATACCAACATGTTCTATAAAGCATAAAGAAGTAGTAAAGTATTACCTCGATTTCTGTGTAATACTGATCGACCATTAAATTCCATTCGAACGCTCTCGGTCTTGAAATCATCTTCCAATATTTCCTCGGATCCATACCAACAGAAATTACATAAAAAACGGAGCTTAATTTTGTAAAACGGATCGAATCGGATGATAAATTAGTGAAAAACAGCTTACCGGGTTCGAATTTGGCGAAACGGATTCGGATTCGGATTCAGGACGTCAAAAGCATAAAATATGACTTTTCGAAAATTTGGAATTTTCGGTCAAAATCAAAGTCAACAGGTTTGATTGGCAATTTCGAGGCCTTCCAGTTCGAATTTTAAAAAACGGATTACGGAATCGGATCTGGAACGTCGAAAAATGTCAGGATAGGTATACTCGGTCAAAGTCAAAGGTCGTTTAATGCCCGGTCATAGCCCGTCAAAGTTTTGGTCAACTTTGGTCAACGGTCAACGGTCAACCGGTCAACGTGTCGGATCAACGGGACGGGTCAGGTTGGGTAAACGGGTCAGGTTGGGTAAACGGGTTAGGTCTGGTTGGAACTGGTCAAAACAGCTCTAAAACCGTATAAATCGGTCATTTTTCCCTTCCCCACACGTAGTGGCGGCGCGTGGGGACGTCTTCTGGAAGCCTATAAATCACGAAAAAATTTCTAAAAATTATTTTGAGTGATTTCGAGATACTTACAAAGCTCGGTTCAAATTTTTGAACGGCAGAGAGCTCGATTTCAATAAATCAAAAACTTTGACCACTTCACCTCCTCACTCGCCACCGTCTACGGAGACCAAGGATGACACCAGCTAACTCGGAATGGAACAAGGAACACGATGGTGCGGGAGGTGTCGTAAACGGATGATCGAATCGTCGTGAATTGACAAAAAACCAAGTGAAATCGAGTTATTATCGACGATACTTCCGACTGAAATTAACAACGAAAGGTGATGATTCACAATGAAAGGTTTGAGGGGTTTTGTTCCTCGGTTGACAACGAACACGATAGTGGTTTCGGTTCATCGATCGGAGGTCGGACGACGAGTAGATCGGAGATCGAAGTAGGGTGAACGGGGGAGGGAAATGGGGGAAATCTGGAAACTGAGCACGAGTGGGGGAGTTATATTTCAACATATATAAAAAATGGCTAAATCATGAGTTTAGTCACTGAACTTCATGCACTTCTTAAAACGGTCTGCCAACTTTGAAATTTTACAAATTTAATCCACTGTTTCTTTCAAAATACCAATTAAATCCAATACTTTATCATTTCTAAAATTTAGCCCTTAAATCGGGGTGTTACAAATTCAGTTTGATTGCTTGGATGTCTTTTTTAAACAGATTACCAACAAGAGATCGGCTTCTCAAAATGGGAATTTCCACTAAAGGGACCTGTGTTAACTGCAGTAACGATCAGGAGACAAGAAATCATATTTTCTGTCAATGCGCTCTTGTTGTTCGCCTTTGGAGCTCTGTCCTTTCGCTTAATGGCTTGAAGAATGCTTCATCTTCATGGGAAGAAATGGTTACTCGGGCTTCTTCATCATGGAAAGGGAAATCATTGCTCACCACAATCCTGAAGATTGCTTGGACTGCCTATATCTACACATTGTGGGAGGAAAGGAATCGTAGAATCTTCCAAGGTCTTCACAGATCACCTGATGAATTGCTCAAGGTTATTACTGAAGCTGTGTGAATTCAACTAAAGGGTAAAAATATTAATAGAGCTGATAGAATAAACTCTAACCTTTGTATTAATTAGGGTATTACTTAAACCAATCATTGCCTTTTATAGTAGGTTGTTGTTAGTTTTGTTCTGATTGGTAGATTGTTTTTGTAGCAGAACTCTGCTCTTCTGGATAATAAAATTTGATTTATTCAAAAAAAATGTTTGTAGAACTTTAGTTCCCAAGAGCTCACTAAATCAAACCAATAGCTATAGCAAGGTGACAATATCGGTAGGGAGGACATGCAAACCTGATTTTGTCTTTGGTCATACTAATCCTCATAAAAAAGCAACCCTTATTAAAAGGTTAACGTTGTTAATATGCCCATATTTAAACGTTGTTAGGAATTTGTAAGCAGAAGAGAAAGAAGAAAAAGAAAGAACAATATTGAATAAGATACATGTAAAAGACGATATTTAACGTGGTTCGACCTTGGTTATCTCTATAGATGAAAGAACACAAATAAACAATAAATGTAAAAATCACAAACAGTGCAAATACATAAAATTTCACATATCGTCAATTTTTTTATATCCAAAAATATGATATATCTCAAAACATTCTCTTAACCCTTATCCTATAATAATTTGTACATAAATAAACTTAAAATAATATTAGTATAAAAAATCTATTTTATTCAACATGACAACAATTATCACAATTTTATAATATAATTAAATATATCTTATATTTCACAATTTACTTTGTTTCAATATATATTTTTTTAAATGAGAGATACACATCAAAGATTTTGTTAAGAAAAAAATTATGTAAAACTTGCACTTTATTAATCTCTCAAAAGGAGGATTATTTACAAGTAGATTTCAACTATTAAACTAATAAAGTAATTGTCTAACAAATTATGAACTAACTAACTGTTCTACAACAACTATTACAACACACCCCCTCAAGTTGGGGTTTAAGTACATCTTTGAACCCTAACTTACATTCTAAAAATCTTTGTTGTTGTACCCCCAGGCTTTTTGTCAAAATATCCTCCAGTTGCTCCGAGGTTGTCACATACTCAATCGAGATTCACCCTTTCTATACTTTATCTCACACAAAGTGACAGTCCATTTTGATATGTTTTGTTCTCTCGTGAAACACAGGATTAGCAACTATCTGAAGTGATGTCTTGTTATCACATTAAAGTTTCACATGAAGCAAATTTTTAACACTTAATTCTCCAAAAACTCCAATTAACCATATTATTTCAGAGGTTGCCATAGCCATGCTTCTATATTCGGCCTCTGCAGAAGACCTAGCCTCAGTATGTTGCTTTTTTGATTTCCAAGAAATTAATTTCTCTCCCAGCTTCACAAAAAATCTAGTTATTGAGCTTCTTGACATTGGACAAGCTTCCCAATCTGAGTCATAATAAACCGCCAACTCAACTTTGCATGATGCTTTGTTGAAAAGACCCTTCCCTGGCTCTCCCTTGATGTATTTCACCACCTTTAAGGCTGTTTCCATAGGGGTTGTGCGAGTGAAGGAAACCCAAAAGAAAGATGTCAAACGACACTCTTCGACTGTGGACACCCAACCTGGGAGAGACCACCGAATGGATGGTTCAAACTTAATACTGATGGCGCGCGCAGATCGAACTCTGGGCTAGCAACTTGTGCAGGTGTTCTTCGAGATCAAATGGGAAGATGGGTATCGGGTTTCATGAGAACTGTCGGATGTTGCTCAGCTTTGGATGCAGAGCTATGGGGTTTGTTTGAAGGACTCCAAGATGATTGGAACAAGGGAATTAGGAGGATTTTGGTAGAGACGGACTGCAAGGAAGCTGCTGGTCTGTTAAATAATGTTCCTGGAGTAAGGGGAGCCTTTTCGTTACTTCCACATTTGCGTGATCTTTGCCTGAGAGACTGGGAGGTTTACGGTAGTTATGTGCCTCGGGAGTGAAACTTAGTCGCGGATAAGCTTGTGAAGATGTCGTGCAGTCATTCGTTTGAACTGCTGCTGATGCAAGAACCTCCAGCGAATTGTCGTGAGCTGCTGATGGAATCATTCGCAGCAGGCCATGATCAACCCGACCGACTGTAGTTAAGTCTTTCAATTTTATATCTCTTGTATTTAAAAAAAACAAACAATTTTGATCCTCTATCTCGTTCTATTAGAACAGTACAGATAATTAGTAATATATATTTCTAATAAAAATAATTATATTAATTAAATTCAGTTTAATTAATATCTTGATCAATAATATATATATATATATATATTTAAATATTTATTATTTTCATATTAATGGATAAAAAATTAAGAAGTATAAATATATTACGAAAAATATTCTTGAATAATTAACAATTTCAAATAATAAACTATTTAATAAAATAAAATCTTCTATAAATAAAATAATGACACATGTTAAAGATGCATGTATATCCATTTATATAATTTTTATTATTTTAATATTCGTTTGATTCCGTAAACAACAACATGTGGTGTGGTATCTCAATCAACAAACATGTATTTACCCGACTGACCTACAATTCCATGTGCTGCACGGATTGTCTGGCCTACCCTCATGCCTTAATCTAATCCTTTAATCTCAACCGTTCATATTATTAAAATATCCCCTCCCCCTGTTTTGATGATTATGTAATGGCTCTTCCCTCCGTATGAGGTCTATAATACCCACGTGAACGGGACCCACCAAATAATTTCATTTTAAGTTAATTTAACTCAATTTTTGTACCTACCATGTTTTTTTTGACCATTTTTCAAAAAAAAAAATGGTAGGTAAAGTACCGCTAATTTTTTTGGGTAAAAGTTATGTTTTTGGGGGTCAAAATAACTACACTTATAGATGATAATACTGATTAACTTACCAAATTATATATTAAATATTAAATATTAAATATAATATTTATCTAGTTACCTTTAAATTTAGAGGATTAGATAATGTATCTAATTACCGTTAAATTTATAAGATTAAGAATTTAACTAATTTTTTAAAATGTATAAATAGTGGAAGTCAAAGTCACCATTAGGCAAACACGCTTACAGGTTTATCAAGAGCCCCCAGCGCGCGGCCTTGTTTCTTTTTCTCTCGATGTTCTTGCTTCGGTCACACCGAACCTTATCCTTTCACACCCGAGCCTAAACAGGTTCGTTCCGCCCGCCCGCCCGCCCTATATATATATAAGGTCTCATCTTCAATAGTTCACCTGCCATAAAGTTGAACGGAGAATTTTGGATGAATTTTCGATTACGCTGCTCAGAAGGTACTCGTTAAATTGAATATTTCTGGTTTTCTATCTTTCTTTCACAGTTTTTTTTCGTGTGTTTGGATCTTTTGTTTTGGTGGCTAGAAAAAAGTAGTGGAAACGGAATTGAATTTTGCTGTTGATATAAAACTGAAAATCTGAATGAAGTTTATAGATAGGAGTAATGGGTTCTTCGTTCATCCAATTTCCTACGGTGTGTGATCTTAAAGATCTTTGAGCTTATATGATCGTGTTTTTGCAGTTTTATTCATTGGCATGATTAGATAGATTAATAATTGGCTGTGATGATTTGAAATTATGGTTGTTTTAAAGAAGAATGAATTGATGGAATTATTTTCCATTTTTTGATGTCCTGGCTTACGATTTTGTATTTTTCACAAATCACGAGATTTGATCACAGAATTCTAGAAGGTTATGCTTGGATGAAGAACTCGGACGAAGAATTTTTTTATGTAGGATTTTAAAATTTCAACTGAATTTAGTAATCTCTCAGAATTTCAAAATTTGTGTGGAATTTCAAAATAGTTTGACTGGGAATGGTGTCAGTTGATTTGTTATGAGAATCAAGAAACACGATAACGGCTCTAGTCGTCCACATAGGTTGACTTCAAATGCTTTGATTGCATGATTGATGATCGTAAAGACTTCAGATAAGTTTTTTCGGAACATGCTCGGTTACTCTGTTCGATAATAATTGGATTCCTTTTACTTTCATTTTAAGGATTTCAAATTTCTTGGTTCTAACTTTCAGCGGCCGGTTATTCCATTAGGATTTTCAAAATCAATCGTTGAAATAAGTTGTGAAGTCAGAAAAGAGAAAAATGTTTTCATCTTGAATCTTGACTACTAAAGCTGTTGAGCATTTATCAGGATTGTCTAGATCTTGAATAGGAAAGCTGGACTTGTCGTGAATTCCCTCCCCCACCCAATTACTCGTGTGTTTATTTTTTGATTTCGTTTAAATTGTTGTATAATTGTGGTACAGAGTGAAGTGATAAGTAAAAGCAATTGATAGAATGACTGTAGTTGGTGAAGGAAGGTCAACATTGAACCCCAATGCCCCTCTTTTTATCCCGGCTGTTCATCGCCAAGTGGAGGATTTCTCGCCAGAATGGTGGCAACTGGTTACAACATCAACGTGGTATCGGGACTATTGGATGAGCCAGCACCAGGACGAGGATGGTTTCTATAATAACGCGGAGGATGATGGCTTTGATGGCACTGACATTGCCGATTTGCTTCCCGATACCTTTGACCTTTTTGCGGATGAGGATCTCTCCGGTATCGATCTTCAGTTTGAAGAGTTGGTACAGTCTTACGAAATCGAAAGCACATCACCTCCTTTACCATCTAATGCCGGTACGAATAATCTCTGCCTATTACATTCAGAATGGTAAAATGCTTAGAAGTAGGGATGGACATGGTTTGGGTTTTGGCCAATCCGACCTAAAAAATATACACCCTTCACTCGACCTGAATATGACCCGACTTTTTGAGATAAAATTCGAAGTCGATCCAACCACACCTAAAATAATAAAAAATATTATTTTTATTTAATAAAAATAGTGATTTAATTGAAGAAAATAATATATAGAAGGGTATTATTGTCATTATTTCTAAATATATAAAATAAAATTATATTTTTTGGGTCGGGTCGAATATTTTTCATCATAAATCCAAATCCGACATGACTTGATCCGAACCCTATTTTTATTTTAAAAAATCAGGATCGGATCGGGTCAGAACATGTCGGATTCGGGTCCCAGGCCCATCCCTACTTACAAGTTAGGAAACTGAGAACTATGTGTATTTAATATCGAAGATTGTTAATAAATTTTATTGAATCGTGGTTCATATATTTGACCATATCGTTGATTCAAATAGGCTTCGAGGAGGATGGTGAAACCCTGATGAAGAATGTGTCATAGGCAGACCGCCAAGAACGTGAACCCTAAAAGCAGCTGCTGAAAGAATCTCGTTAGCCATTCGCAGGTTACAATCTCTCAAGCACCTCAGTAGTGCAATTTTCAGTTAGTTTAACTGTTCTTGTATCAGTCCTTGTTCAATCACGTCTATGTTTCTTCTAGTTAACAGAAAATGAAATAACAAGTGTAAAAAAACTGTAAAATTTTAGAAAAGAAAAAAAAGTCATCTTCTTTCATCTGGCAGAATCTTTTTATATATTTGTTCATTGTGCCACCGAGCAAAAATACTAGATCCGAAATACCTGGTTGTTGAAAATTTTAGAATCTTCTTATATATTTGTTTATTATAGCACTATGTTTCATGTTTTCAAATAGGCCACGTAAATGTGTATATATTTATTTTTGGTGTGGGATAAGTGTTGTATGCTCATATATAATACATTAATCCAAAAAGCAGCAACTGCTACTACAAAAGAACAATCAAAAGGATCTCAATGGATCCCACTCTACGCATAACTGAATATTCACCTATCAGACCTGTCTATACAACAATCATACAAACGAAAACAACAATCTTACAAACGAAAACAACAATCATACAAACGAAAACAACAATCATACAAACGAAAACTAACAATCTCCTTAATGCAGTTAATACGGTCATCAATCGACCGAGTAACCCCTTAAAATGCTTACAGTTTTGTTTTTCCCAAATATAGTAAAGGAACCCTATTTAAGTAAGTTTAAGACAGCAAACATCAAAGATTTTTCCCTCAAATTATCAACAGCCCATCTGATAACATTCTCCAAGCACAGTTGTCGAGGCGGTAACCTAGACAACTGCAAAGTTCACTCCCAGACTATGCAAGAGAAGGAACATTTGGAAATAGATGATTCCTTGTCTCCATTGAAACTCCACACAAATTCCATTCGTACTAATTTTCATTCGATTCAGACTTGACAACGCGTCGTTATCGTGTCAAAATAATCCCTTCTTCTCAAATAATAAATAAAGAAAATTAAATATAGTAAAACATAAGTAAGGGTTAACCCTACAAAAATTAAGAAAACTTCCTGATTTATGCTTGTTTCAAATCTTTGAGCCAAGAAGTGAGTGGAGTAATATTAAGTAAAAGTGAGGATTTGTAGATGATGAAAATAAATAAGAGTAAGAAAATGAAAGAGATTGTAAAGAATAAAAAGAAGTAGATTTAATGGAAAAAAGATTGGAAATTCAATTGATAAAAATCAGCCTTAGGCTTTTGCTTTGACTCAGTTTCCTTGGATCATCGAAAGAAGTATTTACTTCGGGATTCACGTCGGTTACTTGTCTACAAGGACCGATCCTTGTGACTATGCTTTGTATATTGAATACCCAAGCGCAACCTTTGATATCGATTTTGGAAATGAATCTAATCAACAACAATATTGTAGATCACAAACGTTTATGTTCGTAAAAGACCGACTCGAATTATGTTGTTTCAATAATAACTGATTCCGATCTCAGTTTCCACTTAGCAAAGAATTTTGCTAAGTGTGTTCTCAGGAAGTCGAATGTGCTTTTAATAAGATGATCATTCCTCCCACATATTTAACCATAACAACATCCTGACCAACGTTAATTTTTGGTTTTGAAATCGTTTTGATTTTGAAAGTAAGCTTAGAAAACTGAGAAATGTATCCGAAGTTGTTTAAGTTCTTTTCAATTCTCACGTTGGAATTGAGTCATCAATAGTCCTCGGCTTGAAAGAGAATTAGCTAGGCATGACAGAAGTCATACTATTTTAAAAATAAAAGCCTTGAAAGCAAACAAAGAAAAAAAACTAAAAGATAACTTTTTATAAAAAACAAAGAAAAGAAGGGTTTTGATCACAATGATCTCAAAGACAAGTGAATCGTGTTCTTAGGCTCACCCTCAAAGGGTATTTATATCCTTCTAAAAACCCTAAAATAGGCTAAAAATTCAAATGATAATTGTTTGAATTTAAAATCTAAAAATAAAAAAAGAATCCTAAATTTGTTTTTAAAATGCTTGAAATTCTCCACCCATCCGTCCATCTTTTAGAATTACTTACTGGACCTTCTGGAAGTTGCTGACTGTACCTTCTAGAAATTGTTGATGAACGACCACGTTAGCCATTCCATTCCCAAATTCATGCCCACTATTCCAGCCTTGATTCCAGAACCAAAAATATGCAATTTTCAGGCCTTTTAAATAAATTTTCTAGAAGTCATTGTCCTGCACAGAAATAATGTAAAATGCCAAAATTAGTAATAACAATGAACAACCAAGGAGTATGAGCATAAAATGTTGCACAAAATAAACACTAGTCAAATTCCCCTCATTTGTCCAATGCTTGTCCTCAATAATTTCTCAATCAACATGCAAAAATTATAGGTTGCCATTCTATAATTAACATCATACTCTAATCATCCCAATGAACCAAAATTAAACAATTAATTGAAACTAGGAAACAATCAAGCAAGTGACAAAGCTAGGAAATAAGTTAAAGCAAAACAAGACATTCTATAACCTCACTAATCTCTTGATGCAAAACTCAACACCCTCATAAGGGATTCACTCATTCCACTCAAAGTGTTTAAGGACAAAGAAACGCTCAAGCAAAAGCAAGTTAAAACATTAGCATAAGCTTGTAATTAAATCCAATCTCCACAACTTAAAAATGAATTTGATGCAAAGGTCAAGAGGTCTTTAAACAAGGTTGTAACGTGGCTAAGGTATGGGTAGGGAAAAAGCCGAAAAAATGGTTTAATTGCCAAGACTAGAAACAAAAGGATTTGAAACAATCCACGAATTAACATGAAGCACAATGAAAAACAAAACAAGGAAAAAGAATAAATGAAAGACAATTGAAACAATCGATTTTCCCTTCTATTTTTTTCTTTTCATTCGAACAAAAGGGTTGTTTTTTTTCTTTTTTCTCTGCTGTTCGAAACAGTGCATTGTTCACTATTTTTTCTTTTTTCTCGCCGAGCAGAATTTTCCAGCAGTGATTTTTTTTATGTTCAAACCGTTGTTTTCAACAATAAAATTGTTTTTCTTTTCTTCTTTTCATGGAACAAGAATGATCTCGAGTCTCGACAAGAGTATGAAAAAGAGGGGAGATGAAAGAAAAGGCTTTGATTTAATTTGATGGGGTGAAAATCAAACAAAAGGGAAAATTGACTCTAACATGGTTCACTAAGAGGTAAAAGGGTAGGCATTTTTGGGTAGTGAAAAGGTTAATCCTAAGTGCCTCCATCATTCAAACACATCAAACTCATGTATGTAGTCTCAACAAGCATTACACCAAAAGTTCTAGAATGCTAAAACTAGTTAGGCAGACACAAAGAAACAAAGAGAAAGAATGAAAAGTTTATGCTCAATAGGCTCGAAGATCACATGAATAGGCTCAATGTATCAAGTCTATCATCAACCAATAAAACATGGAATGTCAACAATTTTCATGAAAAAATAACTAGTTATGACAACTAACCATCATGCATCCAATGTTCAATTCAAAGCGAGATTAAAAATTAATCGAAAAAAATTAAAGTAATCAACTGAACAGAAAAATAGGCAACAAATAATTCAGACATATCAAAATCAAAATTACTTAATTCAAACATCCAACAAGCGAGGTGAAATTCAACACGGTCCCTCCCCCTCACTAAAATCATTTTGTCTCAAAACATAATTCAAAATTAAATTAAAAGAGAGGGAAAAGAATATTCCCTCTCTAGTGACGACCGCGGCCGCATCGAGACGAGCCCGAGCGAAGGTAGGAAAGGATCTCGGTGGAAGCAAGGCGACCTTGTACACCTTGTATCTCCTCGTGCACATCTGGTTGGACGCTCACCGCATGAATATCTTCATGCCTCGGGGTTGAATTTTCGCCATTTTCTCGCTTTTGATTAGAACAATTCTCAATTCCATCTTACTTAAAAATTCAGGGTAGAATAACGGGTACCTACAAAATTAAAATTAAAAATAAAAATAAATAAAATATCAAATGAAATTATATAAAAATGAAAAATTGAAACCAATAAAATTAAATATAGGTTGCCTCCCATAAAGCGTTATTTTTAACGTCGTTAGCTTGACGACCTGTTTTGCTAGATCTCAGGCCCATCCAATTCGATATCTTCAATTAATCCGACCGGAGCATTAGCATAATACGACTTCAATCTTTGGCTATTACATTTAAACTGAGCACTGAAATCATCTACAATTTCGATAACACCATGAGGGAATATTTGAACCACTGTGAATGGTCCGAGCCATTTTGACTTCAATTTACCTGCAAAAAAATTAAGTTTGGAATTAAATAAAAGAACTTTTTGCTCAAAAATAAATGATTTAAAAGAAATCTTTCGGTCATGATATATTTTAATTTTTCTTTAAATATCTTGCCGTTGTCATAAGCGTTCCTTCAAACTTTTTCCAACTCTTGAATGTCCAACTTTCGCGCTTTTCTGATTGCTTCCATGTTCATGTTACATTGCTTAACTGCCCAATAGGCTCAATGCTCCAATTTAATTGGCAAATGACATGGCTTACAGAAGATGAGTCAATATGACAATATTCTAATAAACCCTTAGGGGGTGATTGGATCATGAAATTCAAGATTCATGGTGAGAATTGTTTTTCCAGATTCAAATTCCCATGTTTGGATGGGAAATATTCCCAATAGGAAGTAATAATATATTCCAAACAGTAAAAAAAATTCTCTGTTTATCGGGAATGTTAATCCCTTACTTTTCTTAGGTATTCTTTTATTCCCTGTTTTAAGGGCTAAAATACCTTCATTTCCCGTTTGCCTCTGCTTCTTTTCCCAAGCGTTCTTTGTTCCTGAACTCCACAGCACAAATTGAACTCCATGGTATGGGATCTGACTTTTATCTGTTTGGTTTTCAGATTTATCAGTTTATGTGTCTTGTGTGTTTATGTCTATGTCTATGAAAGTTTTGATTTCTCTAAAACAATCTTTTTTAAGGAACACTCTATTATATATGTGGTGTTTCTTCTCCATTTCCAGATCCGATCTTATTTTTGCACCAACACGCGAAGATTCTAGTCCTTCAGGTCAAAGCCTTTTTCGTTTTCTTCGTTGAAGTTTCCCGGAAACTCAACCGTTCCCGGAATTCTCTAAGAGAAAGTAAAGTGTCCTCT